GATGACTTATTATATAAATAAGTTATAATTCAACACATTTGAAATTTGTAGATTTTTTGAGTTCAGTTCAAACTCAGTTCTATAAACTTAAAAAGGAAATAAAATACCAAGTTGCTCGAACTCCGTTCGATTAAAAGTCGTTTTGGTTCAGCTCAAACGGTAAACAAGACAAAACTATAGTATTTTAGTCAAATAAATTCGTATTAACATTCATATTTAAAATAAAAATATAGTGTAAATTTAGAATCATACGTATTTGTTGGGGTAATATTGTAATTTCCATTGTAGGCCCCTAGCATATCCACCTTGAAATTATTTACAGTTTGATTTGAGGATAGAATAAGAATATTCAAATAAGCTTCAAATTTAGAATTGTAATTGAAAAGGGATTTTAATTTTTGTTGTGTGCACGCTTTCCATGGCCGGGGTTAATAAAATAAATTAGGAAAATCAAACCTGTGGTTGAACAAGGGTTGTGCTTCAGATCTTGTAGGCCAGTTGTAGAAACTCTTTAACGCTCACCAACCTAGAAAGATTAAGAGTTGTTAATTGAGAGAACATGATGGTATCATTATTGGTGGTTCCTTCTTCTTTTTCTTTCTCTGAAACTATCGATTCCATCTTTGGACAATTATTTACGATGAATATTTTTAGATTTTTTAGTCGTGGGACCATATTGAATGGACCACATGTACCAATTTCTCACAATTAAAACATCCATGACTTTCAGTGGCAGAAGGACTTTGATTCTTTTTCTGAGGCTATGAGTAATTGCTATCCCATGTATCTGTTATGTTTAGGCAATTCGCGAATTTCAAACCTCCAAGACTGGGAAAGCGACCTGTAAAGTAGTTTACAACACTTTAGGTTAGTGACTGTTACAAAATTATGGATAAGCAACAATTGATAATTGCAACAGTTTCCGAATGCATGCTTAATCATGTATGAGCGGAAATGTAAAGCAAAATTGATAATTGCATATCTCCATATTCATCTGAAATATTTATTGTCTTGCTTTATTAACTAAGCAAAGTTTCGTTATCCTCTTCACATTGTCTTCTCTCTTTCATCATTATTTTTCTAGTGCCTTTATTAATTTTGTTTCCATAATCTCATTAGTTATTTTTTAGACAAGGAAAATTATGTTGTAGATCAAGTATTAGACCAACGAAAAAAAAGAAAATTTTATTTCAGTAATTCACCACGTGCCTTGATAAGTTTTATATTGATAATTCTTATTTATTAATATTTCAATTTCTCGGCATATCTATTAAGTTAATATGGCAAAAAAAATCAAATTATTTGAACTCGATTGATATTCGTCTCATAATAACAACTGAGAATGACTTATTATATAAATAAGTTAAAATTGAACATGTTAGGTCCCTGTGTTGTCAAATCCGGAGACAAAATCTTGTGTTGATCAAAACTATGTTTTTCTGTTTTTAACTGTACGCTCGAGCGGAAACTCTTGAGCTCGAGCGTAGATTAGCAGGTCACAGTAGTTTGACAGGGCAAGCACAGATACTGGTGGGTGTGATTTTGACGCTCGAGCGGAAACTCCTACGCTCGAGCGCATCTCTGTTTCTTCGTATGCAGTTTTTGTTCAGTCCGCTCGAGCGGCCTATGTTGAGCTCGAGCGGAGATCGCGACAGATTCCTATTTAAAGCTGCTAACGTTGTTTTTTTGATAGGTTTTTTCCTAGATCTGATCTACAAGCACTAGGGTTGTGTTTAAAGTTTTCTTTGGAGATTTTTCATAGTTTTCCTTGATGTTCTTGAGAGAGTTCTGAACTTATGCATTGAGATTCATACATCAAGGAGGTTGTTTCTTAAGTTTCAAGTGAGTTCTCTTCGGTGGATTCCGAAGATTAAAGGCGTAGAATCCAAAAGGCGTTTGATTCTACGCAGTCGTTAATTCGACGAGTGAAGTTGTGGTGTGGAATTAACTTCAGGATCAATTCCGTGACGAAGGTGTGGTGAAAAGAGTTACAGAAGATTCGGAGACAGGTTGACTAAGTTGGGTAATTTGTAAGATATCTTTGTAATCTTTTTACTTCAGTAGTGGATTGATTTTTGGCGTTTCGCCCGTGGTTTTTTAATCACAGTTGGATGTGTCCAATTGTGATTTTTTTCCACGTAAAAATCGTTTGTGTTGATTTATCGTTTATTCTTAAAAACAAACAAACTAAAATCACTCTCGTAAGTGTTTGATGATTCGTAAGTGTTTGATGATTTTAGGTTGAGTGTTTTGAATTAATTGGGATTTGGAATAAGTTAATCTTGGTCTAATCACAAATCACGTAGGATTTTCAATTGGTATCAGATCGGGGTCACTCTTTGTTTTTTTCAAAACTATAGGAGTGTGATTTTGTGTGATTAGTATCATGGATTCTATTCGTGAAGGTAACTCCACTCATAGACCCTCATTACTTGACGGTACAAACTATTCTTATTGGAAAGCTCGTATGAGAGCATTTTTAAAATCCATCGATGAGAAAGTTTGGCACTCCGTAATCTTTGGGTGGAGTGAACCTACAATCACCGTTGATGGGATTGATATTCCTAAACCCCTTGATAAATGGGACACAATCGATTACCAGAATTCGAGTTGGAACAGCAAAGCTCTCAACTCCCTCTTCTGCTCTGTCACACCTGAAGAATTCCGTCGAATTTGCACGTGTGAAATAGCAAAAGAGGCGTGGGATATTCTTGAAACGATTCACGAAGGTACCACCTCTGTTAAAAGGGCAAAACTTCAACGTCTCACGTCCGCCTTTGAAACCCTTTTTATGCGCGACGATGAGACGTTCGATGAATTTTATGCAAAACTCAGTGATATCGTGAATTCCTGTTTCACTCTCGGTGAGAAAATCCCGGAAGCAAAAGTTTTGGAAAAATTTTGAGGTCCCTTCCCGAGAGGTTCCAACCAAAGGTGACAGCCATTGAGGAGGCTCAGAATGTTGATACCCTCAAGCTCGATCAATTGGTTGGAAATTTGCAGACTTATGTAGCCCACCAAATTTCTAAGAAAAAGCAAAAAGAAAATATGGCTTTCACGAGTGCCCATGAGACTGCAAAACCTCCGGAGACTGAATTTGATTTAGAGTCTGAGATGACGGCTATGCTTACAAAACAATTTAAAAAATTTTTGAAAAAGAAGCCGAATTTCAGAGCTCCTACTTCAAAAGATAAAAGTAATGACAAACCCAAAACTGTTCCACCAAAATTTGCTCAAACTACTGAAAAAAAGATTGTAAGGGGGCCAGGGGTTAAGTGTTATGAGTGTCAAGGGTTTGGCCACATTGCCCTTGAATGCCCTTCGAAAAAGAATCGAAAGAAAGTCTACACTGTAACTTGGGATGATGAAAGCGGGTCGGAGCAAGAACCCGAAGAACCTGAATCTGGAGAAGACGGGGATAGTGCTTTTATGGCTTTTTGGTCCACTTTCACTCAAACTCTTCCAAAGCCAGCGGAGTTAGCTCGTGGTCAGAACTTACATCATGCTCCTACTTTTGATGGGAGTAACTACCTGTTTTGGAAAATCAGAATGAGAGCTTTTCTGAGAGCTTTTGATCCAGAAGGCGGTTTGACTTTTCTCTGTGATAGTCAGTTACTCGTGTCGGAGGTCCAGCCATCCGATCACTACTAGGATTAACTCTAGCTTTGTGACTCTCAAGGATTGCACACACACACATTTTTACATGAGCTCTCATGTGTGTTTTTGAGTTATGCATTCTCATGATGCGTGTGGCTTTGATTTCATACTATCTGTGTTGTTACTGAGCTGGTGTTTCATCTCTTTTCTCAAAATTTGCAGGACTTATCATTTGATGGATTTTCTTGTCTTTGTGGTTAGTCTCACTTGCTCTCCTTGCTTGATTACAGGACCTTCTAGGTGTGTTTTGTTCTTTTTATTTAAAAAAAAAAAAAAAAAAGGGGGGGGGTTTTGTTCCGCTCGAGCGGAATGTTTTACGCTCGAGCGTGTTTTTCACTCTTGCAGCAGTTTGTTCGTGTTTTGGCAGTTCTGAGAGATGGTTTTTTGAGCTCGAGCGGCCTTTTTCACGCTCGAGCGGGAGTCTGCTTGCAGTATTGTACGCTCGAGCGGTATTATGTACGCTCGAGCGTCCCTTTTTCATACTTAACTCCCTCTCTCGACTCTTCGAGTTATTTTTTTCTCTTCCTGGTTCATTCTCTCGATCTAGGGTTTGTCGCGTGGCTGCATTGTGGTCGATTCTCCTCCCCTTCATCCTCCTTCCCACTGATTTACTCTTTGGTAAGTTTTACCCTCTTTTATTTTCTCGTTTTTTTTGTTCTATTTGGTTCGATTGTTTGTTGGGTTTGTATCTTTGTGGGGTATTGTGTGTCGTGTCTGTGTTTCTCTCTCTCTCATTGTTTTTCTTTGTCTGATTGTCTGTTATTTTTGTGTATTTTTCTGTGTTGTGTCTGTGGTATTTGAAGTTATCTGTGTTCCCACTGTCATGGGCTGTTGAGGTCTCCTTGCGTGGGTATCAATTTGGGCTTAGATACATTGCTGTGATTTACTCATGATTCATACTTATCCTGTGCAATTTCTCTCACATTTTGTGTCTTAATTATGAGCTCTTCAATACCATGCTGTCATGCCTTGTTTTTTGGTATGCCCTGTTTTTACTTTGTTTATTGTACTAATGTTTTGTTTTGGTATGGGTTGTGTTTTGGGTTTGTTGGTTTGTTGGGTGTCATAGTGTCTTCTTCGGTATGTCTGCTTCTGCTCCAAAACGCCGAAAGGCTACCGTTTCTCGCCCTACATATAACCCTGAGAGGTTTCAGTCGGCCTCTCAATCCAAGTCATTCCATAAATCTTTTGTGACTCGAACAGTTCATTTAGAACGTAATGTTCAACCCGATACATTTGAGTCCATCAAGATTCGTCCTTTGTTCGACCCTCTCGGTGGTGACCATGTTTTATTATTTTCGGGGCGTCAGAATCTCGATTGGGTTCGAGAATTCTATTGTAACATGGAGGGTATTCGGGATTATGAGCCATCTTTCACCACTTGGGTTAGATCCAAATCCATTTCTGTCACCCCTGCTTTGATTCGCCAACTTCTACAGATTGAGCAAGTTTTTCCTCAATACTATCCATTTCCTGTACCTGATCGTCCTACTTGTGACTTTGATGAGGTGTCTTTGGAACTTTGTGGGGTTGCCCGTCATTGGCCTAAAGGCGGTTTGATTAAACAGTTTGAACTTCTTCCGGAGTTCAGACTGCTTAATTTGATTGTCTGCGCCAACATCATTGTCACCACTCATTCTTCCGAGGTCAAACAAGACCAAGGATTCATTTTGTCTTGTATTGCCAATCACCGCTCTATTGATCTCGCTTCTCTTATTATCACCAAGATGATCAGTGCTCATGGCCATTCCAAGCTTGGCCTTCCTTACGGTTGCTTGATCAACCGACTTTTGTCTGACCTTGGGACTCCTATCCTCGATGATGATGAGTTTGCCTCTCCCTCTCGCCCTTTCACAAAGAAAACTGTCTCACAGAGTCGGGCTCATGTTAAGGGGGAGTCCTCTCGGGCTGGTCCTTCTACAGGTACCACTGCTGGTCTTGCTGAGGAGGCTGAATATGATGCTGCTGCCGCCGGGGGTGAGGAGGATCCTACTCCACCTGTTCCACCTAGCTCGTTTCCTGATCAGTTTCGGTATTTTGAGGAGGCTATGACTCGGAGGTTAGACATTCTTGATGCTCGCTTTGACGCTTTTGATGGTCGTCTTGGTCAGCTAGAGCAGACTGCTGTGCACACTACTTCGCAGCTGGATCACATCATTTCCTTACTGACGCTTCAGCCGCCCCCTCCTCCATCTGGTGCTTGATATGTTGCTTTCTTCATTCCCGGTCAAAAAGGGGGAGAGTTTGGATATTGCTTTGCTGGATATTGCTTGCTTTGCTGGACATTGCTGGATATTGCTGATACATGGATATTGTTGATATATTGGTACTTATCTTTTGTTGATGGTACTTGGATATTGTTGAGATATTTTGTTCCGAGATATTTTGTTCCGTTGGTTCTATTGAATGGATATTTTGATATTTTGTTCCATTGCTATATTCTTATATAGTTCCACAAGTTTTGGTTTTTCTGGTATGTTGCTCGTTTTTTCACAGGTGAATGGTGGATGATGAATTGGATTGATGGATTGATATATGGCAAGATTGGAAAGCTTGTTGGTTCATAGAGTTGTTTTGAGTGTTTTAGTCTTGGTTTTTGAATTTTGTCTAGTGCTTGTGTTTAAGGACTTTTGTTTAGAAAAGTTTTGTCCGGGAATTGACAAAGGGGGAGATTGTTAGGTCCCTGTGTTGTCAAATCCGGAGACAAAATCTTGTGTTGATTCAAAACTATGTTTTTCTGTTTTTATACTGTACGCTCGAGCGGAAACTCTTGAGCTCGAGCGTAGATTAGCAGGTCACAGTAGTTTGACAGGGCAAGCACAGATACTGGTGGGTGTGATTTGACGCTCGAGCGGAAACTCCTACGCTCGAGCGCATCTCTGTTTCTTCGTATGCAGTTTTTGTTCAGTCCGCTCGAGCGGGCTATGTTGAGCTCGAGCGGAGATCGCGATTCAGATTCCTATTTAAAGCTGCTAACGTTGTTTTTTTTGATAGGTTTTTTCTAGATCTGATCAAAACAAACTAGGGTTGTGTTTAAAGTCTTCTGGGGAGATTTTTGATCTTTTTCCTTGATGTTCTTAAGAGAGTTCTGAACTTATGCATTGAGATATATATATCAAGGAGGTTGCTTCTTTAGTTTCAAGAGAGTTCTCTCCGGTGGATTCCGAAGATCAAAGCGTAGGATCCAAAAGGCGTTTGAGTCTACGCAGTCGTTAATTCGACAAGTGAAGTTGTGGTGTGGAATCAACTTCAGAATCAATTCCGTGACGAAGGTGTGGTGAAAAGAGTTACAGAAGATTCAGAGACAAATTGACTAGGGTTGGGTAATTTGTATGATTTCTTTGTAATCTTTTTGTTCTTCAGTAGTGGATTGATAGTGGCGGTTCGCCCGTGGTTTTTGATTACAATTGAAGGCTCTTCAATTGTGGTTTTTTCCACGTAAAAAATCGTTTGTGTCAATTTATTGTTTATTCTCTAAAACAAACAAACTAAAATCACTCTCGTAAGTGTTTGATGATTTTAGGTTGAGTGTTTTGATTTATTGGGATTTGGAATCAGTTAATCTTGATCTAATCACAAATCACGTAGGATTTTCAGAACACATTTTGAAATTCATCAATTCTTTTAGTTCAGTTCGAACTCAGTTCTATAAAGTTAAAAGGGCAAAAAAATACCAAGTTGCTCGAACTTCGTTCGATTAAAAGTCGTTTGGGTTCAACTCAAATGGTAAACAAGACAAACTTATATATATTTTAGTCAAATAAATTAATATTAACATTCATATTCAAAATAAAAATATAGTGTTAAATTTAGAATTCATACGTATTTTTGTTTGGGTAATATTGTAATTTCCATCGTAGGCCCCTAGGATATCCACCTTGAAATTATTTTACATTGATTTGGATTTGGATAGAAGGAGAATATTCAAATAAGCTTCAAATTTAAAATTGTAATTGAAAAGGAATTTTAATTTTTTTTGTGTGCACGCTTTCCCATGGCCGGGGTTCATAAAATAAATTAGGAAAATCAAACCTGGTGGTTGAACAAGGGTTGTGCTTCAGATCTTGAAGGCCAGTTGTAGAAACTTTTAACGCTCACCAACCTAGAAAGATTAAGAGTTGTTAATTGAGAGAACAGGTTGATATCATTATTGGTGGTTCCTTCTTCTTTTTCTTTCTCTGAAACTATCGCTTCCATCTTTGGACAATTATCTACGATGAATATTTTCAGATTTTGCAGTCGTGGGAGCATATTGAACTGGACCACATGTACCAATTTCTCACAATTAAAAACCATCATGTCTTTCAGTTGGCAGAAGGACTTTGATTCTTTTTTTGAGGCTATGAGTAATTGCCTGTCCCATATCTCTATTATGTTAGGCAATTCCCAAATTTTCAAAACCTCCAAGGCTGGGAAAGCAACCTGTAAAGTAGTTTACAACACTTTAGGTTAGTGACTGTTACAAAATTGTGGATGAGCAGCAAATTATTATTACAACAGTTTTCAAATGCAGGCTTAATAATGTATGAGCGGAAATGAAAATCATATTGATAATTTCATATCTCCGTATTCATCTGAAATATTTATTGTCTGGCTTAATTATTAACTAAGCACCTTTTTGTTATCAGCTCTTCACATTGTCTTCCCCCTTTCATCGTTATTTTTCTATGTGCCTTTAATAATTTGTGTTCCACAATCTCATTAGTTATTTTTTAGATAAGCTAAATTAGGTTGTGGATCTGAGTATTAGACCTATGGAAAAAAAGAAAATTTTATTTCAAAAATTCAGCATAGTGCCTTGATAATTTTTTATATTGATAATTTCTTATTTAATTTAATATTCATTTTCTTGGCATATCTATTTAAGTTAATAAGGCAAAACAAATCAAATTATTTGAACTCGATTGATATTCGGCTCAATCAATAACAATTGAAGAATGACTTATTATGTAAATATGTGAAAATTCAACACATTTTGAAATTCATCGATTTTTTGAGTTCAGTTCAACCTCAGTTCTATAAACTTAAAAGGGCAATAAAATACCAAGTAGCTCGAACTCCGTTCGATTAAAGTCGTTTGGGTTCAACTCAAATGGTAAACAACACAAACTTATATATATTTTAGTCAAATAAAATCATATTAACATTCATATTCAAAATAAAAATATAGTGTTAAATTTAGAATTCATACGTATTTTTGTTTGGGTAATATTGCAATTTCCAACGTAGGCCCCTAGCATATCCACCATGAAATTATTTTACATTGATTTGGATTTGGATAGAAAGAGAATATTCAAATAAGCTTCAAATTTAAAATTGTAATTGAAAAGGAATTTTAATTTTTTTGGTTTGCATGCCTTCCCATGGCCAGGGTTCATAAAATAAATTAGGAAAATCAAACCTGGTGGTTGAACAAGGGTTGTGCTTCAGATCTTGTAGGCCAATTGTAGAAACTTTTAACGCTCACCAACCTAGAAAGATTAAGAGTTGTTAATTGAGAGAATAGGATGGTATCATTATTGGTGGTTCCTTCTTCTTTTTCTTTCTCTGAAACTATCACTTCCATCTTTGGACAATTATTTACGATGAATATTTTCAAATTTTGCAGTCGTGGGAGCATATTAAACTGGACCACATGTAACAATTTCTCACAATTGAAAACCTCCATGTCTTTCAGTTGGCAGAAGGACTTTGATTCTTTTTCTGAGGCTATGAGTAATTGCTTGTCCCATATCTCAATTATGTTGGGCAATTCCCAAATTTTCAAAACCTCCAAGACTGGGAAAGCAACCTGTAAAGTAGTTTACAACACTTTAGGTTAGTGGCTGTTACAAAATTGTCGATAAGCAACAATTGATAATTGCAACAGTTTCCAAATGCATGCTTAACCATGTATGAGCGGAAATGAAAAGCAAATTGATAATTGCATATCTCCGTATTCATCTGAAATATTTATTGTCTTTCTTAATTATTAACTAAGCACCTTTTTGTTATCAGCTCCTCACATTGTCTTCACTCTTTCATCATTATTTTTCAATGTGCCTTTAATAATTTGTGTTCCATAATCTCATTAGTTATTTTTTAGATAAGGAAAATTAGGTTGCGGATCTGAGTATTAGACCTATGAAAAAAAAAAGAAAATTTTATTTCAAAAATTCACCATGGCGCCTTGATAATTTTTTATATTGATAATTTCTTATTTAATTTAATATTCATTTTCTCGACATATCTATTTAAGTTAATATGGCAAAGCAAATCAAATTATTTGAACTCAATTGATATTCAGCTCAATAAATAACAATTGAAGAATGACTTATTGTATAAATATGTTAAAATTGAACACATTTTGAAATTCGTTGACTTTTTGGGTTCAGTTCGAACTCAGTTCTATAAGCTTAAAAGGGTAATAAAACACAAAGTTGCTCGTACTCCATTCGATTAAAAGTTGTTTGGGTTCAGCTCAAATGGTAAACAGCACAATCTTATTTATATATTAGTCAAATAAAATCATATTAACATTCATATTCAAAATAAAAATATAGTGCTAAATTTAGAATTCATACATATTTTTGTTTGGGTAATATTGTAATTTCCATTGTAGGCCCCTAGCATATCCACCTTGAAATTATTTTACATTGATTTGGATTTGGATAGAAAGAAAATATTCAAATAAGCTTGAAATTTAAAATTGCAATTGAGAAGGAATTTTAATATTTTTTGTGTGCATGCTTTCCCATGGCCAAGGTTAATAAAATAAATTAGGAAAATCAAACCTGGTGGTTGAACAAGGGTTGTGCTTCAGATCTTGTAGGCCAGTTGTAGAAACTTTTAACGCTCACCAACCTAGAAAGATTAAGAGTTGTTAATTGAGAGAACAGGATGATATCATTATTGGTGGTTCCCTCTTCTTTTTCTTTATCTGAAACTATCGCTTCCATCTTTGGACAATTATTTACAATGAATATTTTCAGATTTTGCAGTCGTGGGAGCATATTGAATGGGACCACATGTACCAATTTCTCACAATTAACAACCTCCATGTCTTTAAGTTGGCAGAAGGACTTTGATTCTTTTTCTGAGGCTATGAGTAATTGCTTGTCCCATATCTCTATTATGTTGGGCAATTCACAAATTTTCAAAACCTCCAAGACAGGGAAAGCAACCTGTAAAGTAGTTTACAACACTTTAGGTTAGTGGCTGTTACAAAATTGTGGATAAGCAACAATTGATAATTGCAACATATTCCAAATGCATGCTTAATCATGTATGAGCAGAAACGAAAAGCAAATTGATACTTGCATATCTCCGTATTCATCTGAAATATTTATTGTCTTGCTTAACTATTAACTAAGCACCTTTTTGTTATCAACTCTTCACATTGTCTTCCCTCTTTCATCATTATTTTTCTATGTGCCTTTAATAATCTGTGTTCCATAATCTCATTAGTAATTTTTTAGATAAGAAAAATTATGTTATTGATCTGAGTATTAGAACTATGAAAAAAAAGAAAATTTTATTTGAAATATTCACCACGGTGCCTTGATAATTTTTTATATTGACAATTTCTTATTTAATTTAATATTCATTTTCTCGGCATATCTATTTAAGTTAATATGGCAAAACAAACCAAATTATTTGAGCTCGATTTATATTCGGCTCAATAAATAACTATTGAAGAATGACATATTATATAAATAAGTTAAAATTCAACACATTTTGAAATTCGCCGATTTTTTGAGTTCAGTTCGAACTCTGTTCTATAAACTTAAATGGGAAATAAAATACAAAGTTGCTCGAACTCCGTTCGATTAAAAGTCGTTTGGGTTTAGCTCAAATGGTAAACAAGACAAACTTATATATATTTTTGGCAAATAAAATCAAATTAACATTCATATTCAAAGTAAAAATATAGTGTTAAATTTAGAATTCATACATATTTTTGTTTGGGTAATATTGTAATTTCCATTGGCCCCTAGCATATCCACCTTGAAATTATTTTACTTTGATTTGGATTTGGATAGAAAGAGAATATTCAAAAAAGATTGAAATTTAAAATTGTAATTGAAAAGGAATTTTAATTTTTTTTTCTGTGCACACTTCCCCATGGCCAGGGTTATTAAAATAAATTAGGAAAATCAAACCTAGTGGTTGAACAAGGGTTGTGCTTCAGATCTTGTAGGCCAGTTGTAGAAACTTTTAACGCTCACTAAACTAGAAAGATTAAGAGTTGTTAATTGAGAGAACAGGATGATATCATTATTGGTGGTTCCTTCTTTTTCTTTATCTGAAACTATCGCTTCCATCTTTGGACAATTATCTATGTTGAGTGTTTCAAGATTTTGCAGTCGTGGGAGCATATTGAACTGGACCACATGTACCAATTTCTCACAATTAAAAACCTCCATGACTTTCAGTTGGCAGAAGGACTTTGATTCGTTTTCTGAGGCTCTGAGTAATTGCTTATCCCATATCTCTATTATGTTAGGCAATTCACGAATTTTCAAAACCTTCAAGACTGGGAAAGCAACCTGTAAAGTAGTTTACAACACTTTTGGTTAGTGACTGTTACAAAATTGTGGATAAGGAACAATTGATAATTGCAACAGTTTCCGAATGCATGCTTAATCATGTATGAGCAGAAATGAAAAGCAAATTGATAATTGCATATCTCCATATTCATCTGAAATATTTATTGTCTTGGTTTATTAACTAAGCACCGTTTTGATATCAGCTCTTCACATTGTCTTCTCTCTTTCATCATTATTGTTCTATGTGCCTTTAATAATTTGTGTTCCATAATCTCATTAGTTATTTTTTAGATAAGGAAAATTATATTGTAGATCTAAGTATTAGACCAATGAAAAAAAGAAAATTTTATTTCAGTAATTCACCACGGTGCCTTGATAATGTTTTATATTGATAATTTATTATTTAATTTAATATTCATTTTCTCGGAATATCTATTTAAGTTAATATGGCAAAACAAACCAAATTCTTTGAACTCGATTGATATTCGGCTCAATAAATAACAATTGAAGAATGACTTATTATATAAATAAGTTAAAATTGAACACATTTTGAAATTCGTCGATTTTTTGAGTTCAATTCAAACTCAGTTCTTTAAACTTAAAAGGGCAGTAAAATACCCAGTTGGTCGGACTCCGTTCGATTAAAGGTCGTTTGGGTTCCGCACAAATGGTAAACAAGTCAAACTTATATATATTTTAGTCAACTAAAATCATATTAACATTCATATTCAAAATAAAAATATAGTGTTAAATTTAGAATTCATACATTTTTTTTTTGGGTAATATTGTAATTTCCATCGTTGGCCCCTAGCATATCCAGCTTGAAATTATTTTACATTGATTTGGATTTGGATAGAAAGAGAATATTCAAATAATATAGCAATTCCGGTTTTCCCTTTCTGTATTTGTTGTATTCCGGACTTTGGTTCCGTGGAGTTGGTTGTTGTGTACCTTGTTCTCATCCTTTAATTCCAAATGTTTGAGTTTTGGGCTGTGTTGGGAGTGTTTCGAACAGGTAGGTTGAGTTTTGGTCTCAAATGTAGTTGCCCAGGTTTTTGGTGTTACGCTCGAGCGAGTAATTTTGAGCTCGAGCGGAGTTTTGGTTTTTGGTTGTCCGCTCGAGTGGGCCTTCTTGCGCTCGAGCAAGGTTTACACACTCCCAGTATTTCGTGTCCCTACAAAACTTCTGCAGGTGTGTTTTTCACGCTCGAGCGGGTTTCCTTACGCTCGAGCGAGTGGCGCTTGAGCGGGTATCTTGGCGTTCGAGCGGGTAGTGCTTTGTCAGTGAAAGTTCTGGGAGGGGGAAATCCACGCTCGAGTGGACTGGTTTTTGCCCTCGAGCGGATGTATTTTATTCTTGTGTCTTGGCGCTCGAGCGTATCCAAATTTTTGTGCTTGACGCTCGAGCGTTCTATTCTCCGCTCGAGCGGGTCATGCGTATAACAGAGGGCAGCTGGGCATTTTTGAATCACTTTTTACACTTCCTCTCTGTCTCTCTCTTACTTTCCCAAAATTGAATTTTGAGAGCTCCTCTCTGTAGAATCTCCCTTCTCTCTAGGGTTTGATCTAGCTAGAGTGTCCCACTATCTTGTTGTCTTTGCAAAAGGTGTGTTGATCGTCGAGGGCTACATTTTGATCAGAAAAGTTTGGATTTTGGAGCACTTTGAATTTCTTCTTCTTCTCCGTTTGAGCTCTAAGTTCTAGGTAGGTATATCCTACTCCATCTTATGAGCTTTGTCTAAAAATTTTGGCATTTTGATATGTCGGGGGTCGTTGGGTAATTTTGTGAAGGTTTGGGGTCATTGTGTAATTTTGAAAAGATGGGGTTTCAAACATATAAACCTTTATGTATGTATTATATTGGAAATGGACTCGGTGTTGGTTTATTGATGGAAAACGGATCCTTAGGGTTGGTATTGAGATTTAGGGAAAAGCCCTAATTGTTCGATAAATTAATTTGTATAATTAATTTTGGAAAAATGAGGAATTGAATAGGAAATATTCAAATTGGGAGTGTATGGGATTAAAGGGGTGTAGTTGGATTAATTTATCGCTCACCTAGACGAAGTATTGATATGTTATCCATTTGGTGCACTTATTTTCTATTTAGAAATAACTGTTTTGGGCTATCGGTGGAGGATAGTCTTGACTGTTGTAGACAATGCATGATGATTATATACATTGTGTATATGACGGTTGGAATAATACATTAACCTTATGTATTGATTCATTGTGTATATGATCTGTGTTTATATTCATTGTGTTGTGTGGGAGGAGATAGGGGATGTACTCCACGGTTTAGGGGAAGATAGGGGATGGACATCTAAACCGGAAGTTGTTTTCTATTGATACAACACTACAATGTGTATCATATGTGAAGTATGGAAGTGTTTTTGTTATATTAATACAGCACCAAAATGTGTATCATTTGTGAAATATGGAAGTGGTTTAATGTGTTATTGATACAGCACCAAAATGTGTATCCGTCATGATTTTCGAAAGTATCTTAGTGATGAGATACTATCTTATTAAATTGTTTGGCCAGGTTCTGAGCCTTGTTTTCAAACTTAAAGTTGAATAAGAAATGGAAACTGAAGTGTAATATGGGCATGATTGTCATGAAACTGTAATATGACATGAATTGGAATATAAGTGTGGACCATCTATCGAATGCTACTATTTTAGTCATTGTTTATAGTTGGTTTAGTATATTTCTACTGGGCTGTGGCTCACCCTATATGGGACATCATTTTCAGGTACAGGTAGCATGCCACCTCCAAGGACATAGCTTGGGAGGCTTGAGACTGTTGGGCTGTTTTGTGTTTTTGATTGTATTACATGTATATCAAGCCAAGGGCTTTCTTTGTATAGAGTTAGTACACTCTTTTTGTAACCAAGTGTTGACTTGGAAAGTTGTAAGCCCATAGGGCATTTACTTTTGATGTCATCATGTAATATATTTTGTAAAGACTACTCTGATGGAATATATTTATGCTTTATTCACTTATGTTTAAGCATGCTATTGTTGGATGATTTATGAGTTTATTTTGAGGGCGTTACAAATAAGCTTCAAATTTAAATTTTAATTGAAAAGGAATTTTAATTTCTTTTTTGTGTGCACGCTTTCCCATGGACATGATTAACAAATTAAATTAGGAAAATCAAACCTGGTGGTTGAACAAGGGTTGTGCTTCAGATCTTGTGGGCCAGTTGTAGAAAAATTTAACCCTCACCAACCTAGAAAGATTAAGAGCTGTTAATTGAGAGAACATGATGATATCATTACTGGTGGTTCCTTCTTCTTTTTCTTTCTCTGAAACTATCGCTTCCATCTTTGGACAATTATTTACAATGAATTTTTTCAGACTTTGCAGTCGTGGGAGCATATTGAACTGGACCGCATGTACCAATTTCTCACAATTAAAAACCTCCATATCTTTCAGTTGGCAGAAGGACTTTGATTCTTTTTCTGAGGCTATGAGTAATTGCTTGTCCCATATCCCTATTATGTTAGGCAATTTACAAATTTTCAAAATCTCCAAGACTGGGAAAGCAACCTGTAAAGTAGTTTACCACACTTTAGGTAAGTGACTATTACAAAATTGTGGATAAGCAACAATTGATAATTGCACCAGTTTCCAAATGCGTGCTTAATCATGTATGAGCGGAAATGAAAAGCAAATTAATAATTGCATATCTCCGTATTCATCTGAAATATTTATTGTCTTGCTTAATTATTAACAAAGCACCTTTTTGTTATCAGCTCTTCGCATTGTCTTCCCTCTTTGATCATTATTTTTCTATGTGCCTTTAATAATTTTTGTTCCATAATCTCATTAGTTATTTTTTACATAAGGAAAATTATGTTGTAGATCTGAGAATTAGACCTATGAAAAAAAAGAAAATTTTATTTCAAAAATTCACCAAAGTGCCTTGATAATTTTTCATATTGATAATTTCTTATTTAATTTAATATTCATTTTCTCGGCATATCTATTTAAGTTAATATGGCAAAACAAACCAAATTATTTGCACTCGATGGATATTCGGCTCAATAAATAACAATTGAAGAATGACTTATTATATAAATAAGTTAAAATTCAACACATTTTGAAATTCGTCGATTTTTTTAGTTCAGTTCGAACTCAATTTTGTTAACTTAAAAGGGCAATAAATACCCAGTTGCTCGGCCTCCGTTTGATTAAAAGTCGTTTGGGTTCAGCTCAAATGGTAAACAAGACAAACTTATATATATTTTAATCAAAAAAAAAATCATGTTAACATTCATATTCAATATAAAAATATAGTGTTAAATTTAGAATTCATACATATTTTTTTTTTCGGTAATATTGTAATTTACATCGTAGGCCCCTAGCATATCCACCTTGAAATTAGTTTACATTGAATTGGATTTGGATAGAAAGAGAATATTCAAATAAGCTTCAAATTTAAAATTTTAATTGAAAAGGAATTTTAATTTTTTTTTGTGTGCACGCTTTCCCATGGCCAGGATGAACAAATTAAATTAGGAAAATCAAACCTGGTGGTTGAACAAGGGTTGTGCTTCAGATCTTGAAGGCCAGTTGTAAAAACTTTTAACGCTCACCAACCTAGAAAGATTAAGAGTTGTTAATTGAGAGAAGATGATGATATCATTACTGGTGGTTCCTTCTTCGTTTTCTTCCTCCGAAACTATCGCTTCCATCTTTGGACAATTATTCACGATGAATTTTTTCAGACTTTGCAGTCGTGGGAGCATATTGAACTGGACCACGTGTACCAATTTCTCACAATTAAAAACCTCCATGACTTTCAGTTGGCAGAAGGACTTTGATTCTTTTTCTGAGGCTATGAGTAATTGCTTGTCCCATATCTCTATTATGTTGGGCAATTCCCAAATTTTCAAAACCTCCAAGACTGGGAAAGCAACCTGTAAAGTAGTTTACAACACTTTAGGTTAGTGACTGTTACAAAATTGTGGATAAGCAACAATTGATAATTGCAACAGTTTCCAAATGCATGCTTAATAATGTATGAGCGGAAATGAAAAGCAAATTGATAATTGCATAACCCCGTATTCATCTAAAATATTTATTGTCTTGCTTAATTACTAATTTAGCACCTTTTTGTTATCAGCTCTTCACATTGTCTTACCTCTTTCATCATTATTTTTCTATGCGCCTTTAATAATTTGTGTTCCATAATCTCATTAGTTATTTTTTAGATAGGAAAATTATATTGTAGATCTGAGAATTAGACCTATGAAAAAAAAGAAAATTTTATTTGAGAAATTCACCACTATAGCGATCCCGGGTTTACCCTTGTTGTACAGTGATCCGGACATGTGTCCGTGGATGATAGTAGTTGATTATTACCTGGTGTACATCCTTTCTTACTTTGTATTTGAGTTATAGGATGTGTTGGGCAGATTTGTTACAGGTTGGTTGAGATTAGAAACCAAAACTAGTTGCCCAGATTTTGACCTGCCCGCTCGAGCGGGGGTTTTGGCGCTCGAGCGGGAGTTTCACTCATGTAGTATTTCCTGTGCAGTGTTCGAGGCTCAAGCGTGTTATTGGCCGCTCGAGCTGGATTGTGTGAGTGCCGCTTGAGCGGGGAGTTGGAAGCTCGAGCGGGAGACCTGTCTGCAAAAGTTCTGGGAGTGTGTATCCGCCGCTCGAGCGGGATTGTTGGCGCTCGAGCGGGAGTCTGTGAGTGACGCTCGAGAGGGGAGTTTGACACTCGAGCGGGGTGACTTTTATATAAATCCGAGATCCGACTTTTGGATCACTTTTTCAAGATCTTTTCTCTCTCTTACTTTCCAAAAAGCCATTTTTAGAGCTTCTCACTCTAAAACCGACCCTTCTCTCTTAGGTTTGATCTAGTAGGAGTTGTTTGCTCGCTTTTGGTCTTTACGAAAGTTGTGTTGATCGTCGAGGGCTACATTTTAATCTGAAAATTTCAGAATTTGAAGCATTTTGGTTTTGGTCTTCATCTCCATTGGAGCTCAAACTTTGAGGTAGGGATATCCTACTCCTACAATCATTAACCACTAAACGTTAACGATCTATTTGGAAACTAAATAAAAAAGAAGTTTAATAGAAAAGCAACTTGAATAAAAATGGAAGTTGAATAAAAAGAAAAATGAAAGTTGCAGAAAATTAAATATGGAAGTTCAATCCAGAAACCACTATACCTTAACGATCTATTTTAATTGCACCAGTTTCCAAAATGCGTGCTTAATCATGTATGAGCGGAAATGAAAAGCAAATTAATAATTGCATATCTCCGTATTCATCTGAAATATTTATTGTCTTCTTAATTATTAACAAAGCACCTTTTTGTTATCAGCTCTTCGCATTGTCTTCCCTCTTTGATCATTATTTTTCTATGTGCCTTTAATAATTTTTGTTCCATAATCTCATTAGTTATTTTTTACATAAGGAAAATTAGTTTGTAGATCTGAGAATTAGACCTATGAAAAAAAAGAAAATTTTATTTCAAAAATTCACCAAAGTGCCTTTTGATAATTTTTATATTGATAATTTCTTATTTAATTTAATATTCATTTTCTCGGCATATCTATTTAAGTTAATATGGCAAAACAAACCAAATTATTTGCACTCGATGGATATTCGGCTCAATAAATAACAATTGAAGAATGACTTATTATATAAATAAGTTAAAATTCAAACACATTTTGAAATTCGTCGATTTTTTTAGTTCAGTTCGAACTCAATTTGTTTAACTAAAAGGGCAATAAATACCCAGTTGCTCGGCCTCCGTTTGATTAAAAGTCGTTTGGGGTTCAGCTCAAATGGTAAACAAGACAAACTTATATATATTTTTAATCAAAAAAAAATCATTTAACATTCATATTCAATATAAAAATATAGTGTTAAATTTAGAATTCATACATATTTTTTTTTTCTGGTAATATTGTAATTTACATCGTAGGGCCCTAGCATATCCACCTTGAAATTAGTTTACATTGAATTGGATTTGGATAGAAAGAGAATATTCAAATAAGCTTCAAATTTTAAAATTTTAATTGAAAAGGAATTTTAATTTTTTTTGTGTGCACGCTTTCCATGGCCAGGATAACAAATTAAATTAGGAAAATCAAACCTGGTGGTTGAACAAGGGTTGTGCTTCAGATCTGAGGCCAGTTGTAAAACTTTTAACGCTCACCAACCTAGAAAGATTAAGAGTTGTTAATTGAGAGAAGATGATGATATCATTACTGGTGGTTCCTTCTTCGTTTTCTTCCTCCGAAACTATCGCTTCCATCTTTGGACAATTATTCACGATGAATTTTTTCAGACTTTGCAGTCGTGGGAGCATATTGAACTGGACCACGTGTACCAATTTCTCACAATTAAAAACCTCCATGACTTTCAGTTGGCAGAAGGACTTTGATTCTTTTTCTGAGGCTATGAGTAATTGCTTGTCCCATATCTCTATTATGTTGGGCAATTCCCAAATTTTCAAAAACCTCCAAGACTGGGAAAGCAACCTGTAAAGTAGTTTACAACACTTTAGGTTAGTGACTGTTACAAAATTGTGGATAAGCAACAATTGATAATTGCAACAGTTTCCAAATGCATGCTTAATAATGTATGAGCGGAAATGAAAAGCAAATTGATAATTGCATAACCCCGTATTCATCTAAAATATTTATTGTCTTGCTTAATTACTAATTTAGCACCTTTTTGTTATCAGCTCTTCACATTGTCTTACCTCTTTATCATTATTTTTCTATGCGCCTTTAATATTTGTGTTCCATAATCTCATTAGTTATTTTTTAGATAGGAAAATTATATTGTAGATCTGAGAATTAGACCTATGAAAAAAAGAAAATTTTATTTGAGAAATTCACCACTATAGCGATCCCGGGTTTACCCTTGTTGTACAGTGATCCGGACATGTGTCCGTGGATGATAGTAGTTGATTATTACCTGGTGTACATCCTTTCTTACTTTGTATTTGAGTTATAGGATGTGTTGGGCAGATTTGTTACAGGTTGGTTGAGATTAGAAAACCAAAACTATGCCCAGATTTTGACCTGCCCGCTCGAGCGGGGTTTTGGCGCTCGAGCGGGAGTTTCACCATGTAGTATTCCTGTGCGTGTTCGAGGCTCAAGCGTGTTATTGGCCGCTCGAGCTGGATTGTGTGAGTGCCGCTTGAGCGGGGAGTTGGAAGCTCGAGCGGGAGACCTGTCTGCAAAAGTTCTGGGAGTGTGTATCCGCCGCTCAGCGGATTGTTGCGCGCTCGAGCGGGAGTCTGTGAGTGACGCTCGAGAGGGGAGTTTGACACTCGAGCGGGGGTGACTTTTATATAAATCCGAGATCCGACTTTTGGATCACTTTTTCAAGATCTTTTTCTCTCTCTACTTTCCAAAAAGCCATTTTAGAGCTTCTCACTCTAAAACCGACCCTTCTCTCTTAGGTTTGATCTAGTAGGAGTTGTTTGCTCGCTTTTGGTCTTTACGAAAGTTGTTGTTGATCGTCGAGGGCTACAATTTTAATCTGAAAATTTCGGAATTTGAAGCATTTTGGTTTTGGTCTTCATCTCCATTGGAGCTCAAACTTTGAGGTAGGGATATCCTACTCCTCTCTATGAGCTTTGTCTTTAAATTTTAGTATTTTGAGATGTTGGGGTTGGTTTAGTAATTTGTGAAAGTTTGGGGGCTTTTGTGTAAATTTACAAGGGTTGGGGTTTTAACTATATCAAACCTAGATGCAGTTTGGCATGGAAAATGTGAAATTAATGTTAAGACATTAATGAAAATGGAACCTAAGGGTTGTAATGTAAATTATGGAAAATGCCTTAATTACATTGGTTAATTAATTTGCAAAATTAATTATGAGAAATGAGGAATTGATTTGGAAGTCATGGGATAAAAAGGGTGTAGTTGGATTATTTATCACTCACCTAGTTGGAATGTTGATTTAATATCCATTGTGCATTTTATTTTCTGCTTAGAAATAACTGCTTTGGGCTATCGGTGGAGGATAGTCGTGATTGTTGTAGACAATGCATGATGATTAGGCAAACTAAAACTAATCGATTGAATGTGTATTAGAGTATGACGGTGGATTGAATACATTGATTTATGTATTGATTGATTGTGTATAGAACCTTTGTGTTTATATGCATTGTGTATAGAGGAGGAGATGGGGGATGTACTCCGCGGTTTAGGGAAGATGGGGATGTACCTCTAAACCGGATAGATTAGAGGAGATTGGGGAGATGAACTCCGTAGACACAGCTCATATGCTTGTCTAGAGAAGTGAAGATACAGCTCATTGCTTATCTTTGAGAAGT